TCTTATCACTCACCTAAATATTATATTTAACAAAATTAATAAGTATCTAAGAAATAATATAAGACTTATTAGAAAAAGATAAAAAATAAGGATTAACTAACCATTGAACATAAAGCTGCTGCAAAAAAATCAATATCATTACTGTGACGAGATAATACCAGTGCTCTATTCTGCATTACTTGAGGTAATTCTTTTAATATAAGATATAAAACTTTCCAATCTGTTAAGAAAAATATATATATATGAATTACATATGTTATATGTGTGCATGTGAAAGAATAAAATTATTTTAAAGCATTACCTTTTTCTTGTTTGATACAAGAAATAATAGTTTTACACCCATGAGTCAAAGATATCGGAGTAATATGACAAGATAAATGTTGCAATGGCACTGGACTTGCAGGTGGAGGACTGTTGCCACCACCTGCATTGTTCATACGTTCACTTGTGCCATGTTCCAAAACAAGATATGGACTAAATCGTGTTACAGTAGTATTTGATGCATCTAATATACCAAGATGATACAGAGAATTTGCTCTAATTTTTAAAAAACACTCAAAGATCTGTAATATGTTACATTAGTATGTGTGTATATATGTATATATATATATATATGATATGTATGTATATATATATATATATATATATGATATGTGTATACATATGTTTATAAGTTTTAATTTATTAACAAAATAATTACCAAATAACGTGTCGTTGATACATCATGGAAGACTGAGGGATCTTTGTAATGTTGTTCAAGATGATTAACTAAAATTTTGTAAGCACAAATTGCATGACTTGATGGTAAACGATACATTTTAGAAGTAAATATCTTTATAACTCCAACTACAGCAGTTTTTACATCTTTAATATCAGCATCCATAGATATTGGAGCATCTGATGTAAAAGGCTTGTTGATTACCTAAAATAAATAATCTCATTATAAATACATTCACACATTTCTACTTAAACAATTCTAATACCTTTTCTAGTACGTCTAAAAGTTCTATGCATCGCTTAGTATCACATTCCAAACAAAGATCTATTAGTAAATTTGCAGTGACGGTACGTATTGTAATATCTGGATCTATATCCACATGTTGCGTGTATGGTACAACTATTCGCTCAATAAGCTCATCTTCATATCTAGACCTATAAAGTAATGTTTATATTATATAGGCATAGGTCACGTGTATATGCGTATACGCGAGCGCATTATATATACATACATACACACATATGTCTGTATGAATGTAAGAGAAAGTTAGAACAGTTTTGTTATTACATCAAGAAAAGTTTATAATACCTATTAACATAAATGACATTAGTTAGAACATCCAGAACCTTCATTCTAATGGTTGTACGTGTCTCAATTTTATAGTAACGTTCCATTAAAGATCCTAATTTGGTCTGCCATTGGTAATATGTAGGACCTATCATAGAAGCTCTATATTCAATTAATTTTAATACAGATCCTTCCTAAAAATAAAAAAAAAATAATAACTATGTATAAGCATTCCGTTTATACTATTTTGCACTTATATGAGCTTACAGGTCGAGAATCGCTACAACGTTCAACAAGATCATAAAAACGTTGAATGCAACCATTATAATTGTTCGTATCGAGTAAACTTTCAATGTTAGTCATTGTCTCATGTAAACTCGTAGAAACCTGTTTGGTTGCTGGCTGATTACTAGTTTCTAAAACAATGCAGAAAAATCTTAATTCTATTATATTATACATATGTATATAGTAGCTACACAATATTATAGTTAATGTTTTCTTTAATTAGAATAAATAGAACATTTTAATAAACTTTACCAGTGTGAGTAATAATTTCTTCTATGATATCAAGAATGATGCTCCATGTAGGATCCCATAATTCATTGCCATACTTATTCACCAATCTTTGTATTGATAGGGTGACTTCATACATGACAATTGGATGATTGCATTGTAGAGCCTGTTAATGTGCAAAGAAATCATATATTTTATTATATCTAGTTGCACATATGTACACATATATATTATATTCATAAAATAAAGGTAAAACAGATATATACATACTTGATAGAATGAAGGTAAGACAGATGCTGGTGTACACTCTAATTTTGGTATTCTATGCGTACCCCACAAACCCATATTTACATAAAACACGGCACCTCGTAATAATCGAACGTCACGTTGAAAATTAGTATCTTGTAACAAGCGGCACATTGTATACAAAGCACAATGACCCATATGTGTTCCTAATAAATTTCGCATAATCTGTAAACCATTATAATATATGTATACTACTTTATTTACAACCTGTTAATAATTTTATAACACACATACATACAGTCTTTCTAAATTTATTAAAAGAAAATTGTATGTGTAGTAAAAAATGTATATCACTTATATGTGTAAATATGTAGTATATCCACATTTGCAGCAGGTAATCAATGAAGACAAAGACTTTTACATATTTTTGAACAACATTTTAAATATTATTGTACCTTCCAACTTGTTTGGCAATAAGTCTCAACATTTACACTTCTGCACAAGGCTATAATAAAAGTTTGTAACGAGTCGGACTGCAAATTACTATAACACATAATTGCATCAAGAGCTTCCAAACATCCAGAAACAACTTCAGTATTGTTACTATAATAACATAAATGTGAGATATATCTGAAAAAATTATGATAACTTGTTATATGAGTAATTTTACTTATTAGAAAAGAAAATATGATTTCTATCTAAGATATTTACTGGACAAGACCAGATATAATATCCTCATCGATATAAGCAGAGTTGAATTTGATAACATTAACAAGAAGAGACAAAAATTCGGCTCCTCTTTTCCCATCTCCTGCTGTTACCGTAGGCATCCATTCTAATAGAAAAGGACCCATTCTTTCTTCCAAATGTAAAATATCTTTCCCATGTTCTGTTAATGTTTGTAACAATTCCAATCTGAAATATCGAAAAAGTGATAGATAAAGCAGTGATAGTTAAAATAAGGTAATGGATATTGCTTGTCAGAATACCTAGGACCAATATCTTCGGGAATATCATATTCCTTCACTACCATGAAAAATTTTACACGCATCAATGACGAAAGTTTAGAATATTGTCCTTGTACAAGGCATTTTAAAAAATTCAATGTTAAATGCCTATGTTCACGAGGAACATCCTTTCCCAGCAAGTCTTGAACTAAATTCCACAAACGTTCAGCCGCTCTCTGTTATTAGAAATAAATAGAGAAAAACATAAAGCATTAGATTTGTCTGATCTTTTATACACATACATTTACAATGACACTTTGTAATTTTTCACATGTAGATAAATATATATATATATATATACATACATCTTCCCACTGTTGATTTAGTACTGCGTCACGAAGCTCTTTAATCGCTTTCGTACGATGATGCACTGGACTATCTGGACTAATTTCTTTTTCGATATCGTAAGTTAAAGTGAACTCTTCGCGACTCTTGTAACTTCCTGCAAAAAGACGATCGATACAATTATAAATATCGGACATAACGGACAACTTGCGATATATGAGATATCCGAAACGTAACGTTTACCTTTATTTATACGAAAAAATTGCTTGAGTTTATCGTGCAACGTTTTATTGTCTTTGTCTTTCGAATTCATTTTCGACATTTTAGTCTGAAATTTAAAGAAACTTGTGCAAAAACGTAGCCAGGAAGTATCACACCGAACATGTCAAAAGCAGATGTAACATCAGACTGAGTGCACCAACCCAACCGGTGACAACAACCAGTAACAGTGACAATCAGAACAATCACTGATGCCAGCTACACTCATAAAACGTTGATACGAACTACATAGCTGCACAATTACGTATCCGATAAGTAAGTCAATTTATATCGTAGCTGTGCGACGCAGTTAAGTATATTATAGCTTAATGGTCACACCGACGAAATACTGTTATTAAAGACAGTCGCTCTTATGAAAGAACTAAACTGAAAAATACAATATTAATTTTATAAATTTCAAAAACATAATGTATATATACATACTATATATAAAACTCAATGATACTCGATTATTAATACGATTTTAATTAAAAACTATATGGTTTTAGTGTTATCGTCCGAGTTTGATTATCAATAGAGATGATAATAAGAATTGAGAAAAAATTGTAATTTTGCGATTATATATATAAGATAATATATTATAACATTACAAGTGCTTATTTATAGATAATTTATATAATAAAAAATCATGAATTTAATAATGTATTCTCCAAATATTTATTTGCTATTTTATATCAATTGTCGATAATGTCATCTTCAATTACCTCTTTTTGATGGTCATGAATTTGCTTTGGGCCAGCCAAATTATCTCGTCGGTGCTTGTACGAATGGCACAAATTATTATATTTACTCGTATATGCACATACAATAATGTTATATTTTTCTTTTTATAAAAACAGTTGAAGAATAACAATTTGAATAATTCTCAAACGGCGACTTTTTTCGATATGTAATTTATAAGATTAATAAAAATGAACCAACAAAATTTCGAACATTTATATTAAATTAAAAATTGTGTGGAATGATTTAGAATAGAATAATTCAATTTTTAAGAAGTTCTTTTTATTACAACACATATTATATAGTTTTTTTGTTATAATTGGAAAAAAAAATATTAAGTACAAAGAAACAATAAATAAAATGTCAGAGTTATAACAATTTTTTAATTAAAATTATATGAAAAGCGAATATTATATAATACGCATATGGATGTATTATACATAATGCGCAGTCGATAACTATAATCTATCTATAATTATAGTTATCGCAGCACTTCATCAAATTTCACACACATATATATATATATACCCGTTATTATTTTTTCTGACTAACATAATTTTAATATCCCTTCTTTATACGATTTGCCGTGCCAGATCGCGTGACCTTCCTCCTCGATGTCTTTGTCACGTTTATTGCTCTCCCTCGCTCCAATCCGAGAGTACGTCAGAGTGCGTAAGAACAGCAACTATACCGCTGCTGCATGATTCCAGCTGCCAGCAAGGCAGCTTTCAGCTTCAGAGCTTCAGTGTATCGTGGCAACTCGTAGTGGTTACTGACGACTTTACAGTGTGACAAATACATAGTGCCGCGTAGAAACAATTTAATAGGTAAGCGATGACTAATAATCCCATGTTCTTTTCAAAGTTTTATGAAAAATGCCTGTCAATCCATTTATGAATTGTGTGTGTGTCGTTAAACAATATAGACCTCCAACTTCTTTAATAAACGTTCTGAAGACATCCAGAAAATATCTCTAAATCCTCTAAACATTTTCTGAACTTACAATTAGACGAAATGCTGTGTGGATCTATAAGGAAATATCCTAGCTCTTTCTCTTACTCACTTATTAATATTATCACTCACTCAAGAAAATTACATAGCAATATATATATATATATATATATAGACTGTTTTTCATTTAGTGATACAAGTTGATACAAATATCAATTTATAATCTTTCTTGAAATTCAGAAGATAACAGACAATATTTGTGTTGATTTGTGTCACCAAATGGAAAGCACCTATGGTTCAATATATTTCAGAATAATCACAAAATACATTTTTATTTTTAGTAGCAGTGGATCAATAATCCTTACGTTACAACATAAATTGTACATATACATGTATATATATATATAAAAACAATTTATGTTTAAAGAGTATTCAGAGTGATGTTAAAATGTTATCATTAACAAATTATTACGATATATATTGACGTAAACTTAACATTTTTCCATGCAACTTTCCTAGCTTTTGATGGGAAATTTCCATGATTCACTCAAAACTTATTCTTTTATAATCAGTAGATACTGAAAGTATAATTCTTGATGTAGAATCGTTCTGCCTTAATCAATATTGAATTTTAATCTCCCACGATCCTTTTGGAGATACGAATAAAAAGATTGTTACGGACTGTATATGTGTAGTATAGTGAGTGTATCTCCCTCCTTCTCTCAGATGATATTGCGTCGTGTTCGATCCAAGGATAGCAACAGTACGAGAATACCATGAAGTGCCAAGTTCCGGATTGCCATAAATTAGATCTCTGCGTATAAAAATGATTGATTCCACCAAAATCTACTGTCTTTGCAATATTTATTAAACAAATGACTAGCTATGTGCAAAATCAAGACAATGCGGATTCTCGTAATCTCTTTAAATTTTAAAACATCGTAATAGAAATATTTGACCATTTATTGCATAATTGACACTCAAAAATATTTCTTAAAGAATTTTAAAGAGCACTTTAAAAACTGGTAAAGAATTGTCTAAATATTTTAATGGCTTCTTCTATTTTTCTTCGACAATATAACTTCCTGGTAAACACAAAGTTACATGTAATCCCATGAACAAAGCGCGTTTCAGTAAAATCACACAAATCTGGCAACTTGCCGTAGATTTTCCTTCAACGATTTCGAATATACGACATTTTAGCAATATGCAGGCAAAACAAAATGCGTATGATACGTATTGCCAGTAGTTTAACGGTAAGATAGCTGCAGTAATATATATATACATATATATATGTTACCTTTTATTGCCTTATCAGCAATATGACAGCATTGTGTGATGCTGCGTATTGTTATGATAATAGTACGAATTTTGACGATTTTAAAGTTGTCAGTAAATTGCTGGGAAAAGTTGTTACTCGAAGTTATCATACTTGTCATGAAGGCATCAAGTTGTCTGCAATAAATGAACACTTGCTACAATTCTCGTAGAAACACATTACTTAGCAATGCACACATGTAACAAGCAACATGCTAGCAACACTATAGATACATTGCTATCTGTGACGTACTTGTTAGTTGTAATTTCCCACTTAACAATATGACACGCAATATAACACACGTGCGTTATATCACAGTTATGTTGAATGGAAAATTATGACTAACAGGGATGTTATATGTACTTGTGTTTATTGGGTTATTATAAGCATTTTATCTTATCCTTTGAAATCTATACACACACACACACAATATAAGAGTATATTTTATATATACGTATCATATATACCATATATATTTGTATTTTGTTTTCAGAATGATTTCGCGCGCTATGATTAATTTTTTTTCTGGGGCATTGCTAATAATTGCCCTTATTCCGGACGCGACATCTTATAACAGTAAGTAAATACTATAACGATGAATATAAATCTCTTAGCGATTAAATTTTTGTTACAATATATCGAGAAAGAAAGAGAAAAAATATGTTTTCATTTTCTTATTTTTCAGAATATGGGAGAACCTGTAAGGACATTGGCTGCCGTAGTGATGAAACATGCGTAATGGCTGAAGATCCTTGTACCGGCTATACAGATAAATGCGGACGATATCCGACCTGTCGGAGGACAAGTGGTAAGAAACGATATAATAGCTAATTTATTTCAACAATTGGTCTTATAAATCGAGAATATATATGTATATCACACATGTGTCGTGTAATTACGCATGCATGTAGTATTTCTTATTTCAAAAGATAAAAGTAAAATTATTATACATATCTTCCTTTATTACTTTAGTATATCAATGTTAATATAGGAATATTTACACTAGAATTTGTATTTATATTGTATCTTAATAACTTCTTAAAAAACCTTATAGATGCAAGTTGTACTAGTATGGTTTGTGGAGAGAATGAATACTGTAAGAGCGAAAATGGTGCGCCAAGATGTGTACGAAAGTCTACAGGATTAGGTAAGTTATTATAATTTTATATCTGGCATTCGATATTCGACACATTGCGAGCATAAAAACGTAAAAACAATGGCTAATGCATGAATAAAAAGCATGATAAAACTAAGTAAAATAAATTATTTGGAATCATATGAAATTTCAAAGTCTTTACGCTTTTGAGCAAAATAAATCTTCATTATTATGGGACTCGTGTATTTCATAGCATGTATGGGATTGGAATGAAGAAGGCATGATTTCTTCAAAAAGACAAAACGAACAAATGTTTATCTATTTAATTCTGTCCATTTATTGTGCAATCATGGGTCTCATGATTTCTACATTAAAACATACATATGTTTTTTATTCTAATTGTTGTCCAAGTGAGATTTCCCATATAAAAACAATACTCATTGTTAGCATACTATTCAATGTAACATATTATAGCATATTATAATATTATAATGTATATTATATAGTATATATATTTTTGTATATATTTTATTATTAATATTAATTTACTATTTCTTGTGAATTTATAGAACCCATTCATGTAAAATCTTTAACGATGTACACAAGTAAATGATATTTCAGATTTATTGATATTTTAATTTTTGATAAACACAGAAACTATTTTTTTACTGATTTAACAATTAATTTATATATAAAAAGTCTGCATTTTATTCAGATTTTCTCAAGATATAATGAATCTCTCTTTTCTTATTTAATTTTTTTATTTAAAATAAGATTATGAATATAAAAAATATAAAATATATATTTTTTAAATATATTTTATATATTTTTTATATCTAAAATCATAAAAGATCTGATTATGTCTTATTCACACGTATATTGACGTGTTTGTTGTTTGGATATAAATTAATTATACGCAATATATTGTCCCATTTTTTCTTTTAACTTAAACATAAATTTGTAAAATTGTTCTTAGGATAATAATTTGCTCCACTTGAAAAGATATTTAGATTCTTAGTGTTTTCCTTTAATATTTCTTTTGTAAACGAAGAAACTTCCTAATATGTCATCCTTGCTCAATCCAAACTTGAGCAAAAGAAATAATAAATAATCTCTGAGTATTTAATATAGCAATAGAACTTTATTGCAACTCGTTATCATCTTGCAATGTTTCGTATAACTTAATTCCATTTGTGTGTTAAATACGCACAGTACGAAGTGAGTAAGCTTCCTTACAGGCTACGAATCAGCTGGTGTGTCTTACGTGAATGGCGAGCGAGTAAAGGAAGGCGAAAGAAATAACGCAAATCCTTATGCGAATGCGAATGCTCCACCAATGCCACCATATCCATCTGGTGATAACGAACATCATCGATCTTCTTTTGGAAGCAACTTAGGATATCCACCATATCCCAGTAATACCGGTACCTCTGGACAGTCTGGACATGGATACCCATCGTACCCACAATCGACCAATCAAGCTGGTCATCGGGACTTAGGATATCCACCATATCCAACACAAAACAGAATGCCTACACCAGGACAATCAGCTTATCCGGGTTATCCGCAAAATACTGGATATCCTCAGGCTCCAGTAAATCCACAGTATCCAGGATATCAAAATTATCCCTATCAAAATTATCCGAATCAACGTGGATACCACTACAACTCAAATTCGGTTTATGGAAGAAGGAATGCTGCATCACTCCAAACAATTTCCTCCATGATTCTTGTTGGATTTTCTGGATTATTCCTTCTAGTCATGATACGGTGGTGATTCAGCTAGAAGTGTCATATTTTATCTGCGTCATGATTATTGTTTTGCTATTCTTAATCTTATTTACAGCATAGTCCATGACTGTTTATTAAGAAAGTATTTTGCAGGAAGTGTTATATAAAAATTCTTGTACAGATATTTTATAATATTGTATAAATTAAGCGCAAATGATATTTTTAAAATGTAATTTTATAACATTTTTTTTCTTATATTTATAATATGTATTGTGTCAAGTATATTTTAAATTATTTATATATGTATAACCTACGGTAAGCGTATACATATATTGACTGTAAATAATTTCACAGTATTTTGAAGAAAACAAATTTTATTCTCTTATTCAGTGATTTTCTTAATTTATACTTGTACGAAAAAAATTTATTTTCATCGATATCATTTATCTTAACCTATACCACTATAGTTATAAGTTATTTACACGATTTTATGAAAATATTTTAATTTATTCCGTGCATACCCATATATTTATATGCATGTATGTGTACGTGTACGTTTATAATTTATAAGAAATGCTTTTAAACTATAAAGTTTTTAATGAGCTACGCATTATTCCTTTATACTTTCATAATTTGGGCGATTTATAAAACGCTTCATAAGCAATTCTTATTCAACATGGGTGTTAGATACATTATAAATGGTTGGGTTATCAGCTTGAACTTTAACACATGTTATCTCTTCATGCGCCATATAACGTATAAGCAAATTTAAATGCGAACTATTACTGCGTCTTACCGATTGTTTTTTTTTTTATTTCTTTTGATTTAAACTTAATGACATCAGTAAAAACACATTACAATGGTTGTAAATACAAGCACAATTTATTTTATATATATATATATAATTCCTTCATATATATGATAAATTCCTTTATGTATATAATTTATTTGTAGTAAAAGATGAATAGATAATGCTACAAATGGACGTAGTATGCATACAGAAATTATATTCTAATTGGCTGTTAGTTTCATCATTCTTCTTGCGTATAAAAATAATGTTAAGAGGAAACTATTCAAAGATTAAAAATAATGTATAATATTTTATGTATTATATATACCATATTTTTATTGCAAAAAACAGCCATAAAACAGAACAGTAATTACTACTAATAATTTGATCTTGATTTTCGCATTAGTTTTTTTTTCATTATGTATGGTTTAATAGCATTACCTGCGGGAATAAATAATGTCTCACATCGATCGACAACACCAAGAGTGCCATCGCCGCCGCCTAGATCTTCATCATATGGAGGAAGATATAACGGTTACTCTGGCTCCAGAAATACCATAGGTGATGGTTCCATTTTTAATCGTTTATTTGGCAACAACCGTCATCCTCGACCGACCACCTCTGTCAGAAGCACTACGCAAACAAGTGGAAACAACTATTACAAAACTCACACTCACATGGATAATCAGGGGAACAGAATTTGGACATTTTCTGGTTAAAAATTTATTTACATGTTTCCTTTACTTTTTTTCGAAATATTAATGCAAAGTGGATGCCAATATTGATGTTTTATACATATATCACTTTTACATATATAACACTAAATTATATTCTTTTAGTCTGTGAAGTAACAAATACAATGTAATATTAATTACCTGCAAATAAACTTCATTTATAAAAATTATAAATGTTTGAATAATCTAATAACAGTTTTTTAGATATGCAATAGTAAGAAAAATTGTAAAATTGTAAAACTGTTTTATTAAATTAATATTATATAATATAATAAATATATATAATATAAATATTATATAATATATTACAATATATAAAAAAATGTGCTCTGTGTTAACATAATTGATCAAAAGATAGAATTGTTCTTTTAATTCAAAAGTTTGAGAAATTCTTTGTATTATTTTTTAATTTTTAATATCCAGTAATTTCATTATAATCTAAATAATTTTTATTTGATGTTTTGGAATATTAAATAAAAGGGCACCTTTGCTTTAATTTAGCTATTCAGTTACTATGAATGATATATGCACGCATACAAATATACATTTAAGTTTGCGCTATGCACATATAAAAATTGTTACATATGTTCCACATCTTTATTTTTTCAGAATATTCAGCAATATAATTCAACTTATAACACATTGCGTGTAAAAATAATTCAAATACATAATTCTATCTCATCTCTCTAAAATATTTTATAGACATGAACAGTCGAGCAATGTGAAGTTTTGTAGACATATTTTTGCAATGCGTGCTGTAGTGCAAGCCTTATTTGATGCATGTGTGCATGATAAATGTCAATTCAACAATTGATGATGCTTCTCGATAAAAATAGATTATACATATTTCACTTTCATACTCTTAAGTATTTTTTATAACTTGCATTATTATTATATGCAGAGAATGACGAAATGAGGCCAAGAATAGTTCCAAAACGGCAAAGTAGTTCTTCAACGACAACCGAGACACATGGCTCCTCAGATACTTCTAAAAATTCAGATGATCAATCGTATCCTGCCAGATCTTCTGGTTATCCAACCAGTTCAGGATATCCTAGTAGTAGCAGTTATCCAAATTCCGGGTCTTCAAGAACTTCTGATTCGTCAAATCAACCGCGATCTGATTATCCATCCAGCGGATCGTCCGGTTATCCAACTAGTGGATCATCCGGTTATCCGTCTAGTGGATCGCCCAGTATTCCATCTAGAGGATCATCTGGTTATCCGTCTAGCGGATCATCTGGATATCCAACCGATGGATCATCGGGTTATCCGTCCAGTGGATCACCCGGTTATCCGTCTAGAGGATCATCTGGTTATCCATCTAGCGGATCATCTGGATATCCAACCGGTGGATCATCGGGTTATCCGTCCAGTGGATCACTCAGTTATCCGTCTAGAGGATCATCTGGTTATCCATCTAGCGGATCATCTGGATATCCAACCGGTGGATCATCGGGTTATCCATCTAGCGGATTATCTGGATATCCGTCCAGTCACTCTGGTTATCCATCCAGTGGATCCTCTGGCTATCCTTTGAGTGGCTCATCCAGTTATCCATCTAAAGACAATTCCGGTTATCCAACAGGATCTGCATATCCAAGCAGAAATAGCGGTACTTCAGGATATCCAGATAATTCTAGGAATTTGCCTGGCGAGGAGACTGTTAGACGAACCGGCGCTAACGCTGTAAATGCTGGCTATCCAAACAATCAACGCACATCCGTATATCCAGAAGGATATCGTGGTAACTATCCGGGTCAAAATACAGGATATCCGTACAATAATCAACGTCCTCCACATTCTAATCAAGGTTATTCAAATGGGTATCCGCAAGGGGGATATTACCCTGAAGGACATTATCAAGGTCAAAATTATATGACTACTACTAGGCGTCCTGGCATTCGAGATCAATTGACGAATTTTGCACGAAATGTGGCAGAAAAAGTGCTGACACAAACGATACTAGATCGCGTAACAGGAAGACATCAATAAAATAACAGTACCAGCATTTTTTGTTCTCTATAAAATCTGCGTCAAAATGTCTAAAATGTATAACACTTTCTAAAATCTCTCTCTCTTTGTTTAAAGAAATATTGTTATTAATATAATTTAATAATTTAAATATTAAATATTTTAGTAAAAATCTAGTCTTATAAGTTAATTTTCACGAAGCAGATAGCTGTGGCAGATAGTTCATGGAAAAGTTATCGCCAGACAAATAGAAGCTTTATATGAACATTTGTCCCTTATATATTAAAAATCTTTTTTAAATTTTCTTATGTTATACATTGTATAAAAATTTTTCTTATATATATACATATATAAAATTCTTTTAAAATATTTTATTGTTCGTATTTTAGATTTTAACTTTATTGTATTAAAAATGAATGGAATAATTTAAGATGTCTTTTGTACAGATATCACAGATATATTATAAGGAATTAATAGATTTATATCTATATATGCATTAAATCTGCTTTTTTTCAAGCTTTCTTGTACAATCAAATAATTTTGAAGAGAATTAACGTGTAGCATGCAGATGTTTCAATGATAAAATTTATAAAAGTAACTAGTAAAAGTAAATCTTGATAATAGAATACATATAATAGAGATAACAAAATACATTTATTATGATATCTAAAAGTTTTAAATATTATTTCTTATCCTTTGAGAACTTTGCACATATATAATATGATAAAATAATTCGTAAAGTATAAAAATATAACAATACCTATTTATAATTCATCTCTTTTTGTGAGGAAATCCTCTATTTTCTTCACACTTCCAAGAAATAGTGGCATTCTGCTTGGTTTATGTTCAATTGCAAACATAAACGGACGATCAACTGTAAACTCTATTGGTAAAGTTGCCATCCTTCTCAGTCTCATTCCCACAACTGTAACAAATAATTCCTTATACTAACACTTATACAATTCATCTAATTTTTTATCATTCATAGAGACAAATTACCTGTTGCAGCAGCAGCTTCCGAACCTTCTTCATTAATTTCTATGAAAATTTTTTGTAATGCATGACTTACTTTCAAAGGAATGTTTGAGAGCTGAGTAAAATTCGCATTATCTTCAAAGATCGTATTTAAGCCAATCTACAAGTATGTACTTCCATGTACCAGCTGTTCAAAATATATTTCACTAATTCCATATTGCTTACCTTTTTCAAAGTGTCTTTCAAATCTATGGTAATTTCAAACTTAAATTTAGGTAGATATAGTGCAATCTCGTCGATAAACCTAGGTTTATCTGCCAATGTTTTCCAATTAAAATTATTTTCTAAAACCTGCAACTCCATCTCTCTATCTGGCAATAATATTATCATTACAATGTCTTGATTCTGCAAAATTGTTCTTTAAATTAATTTTATTTTTGTAAAGCTTTTTTTTATAGATATAAGCCTTACTTTTATAGATAAGCTTACCAAGTATGGAATTTCAATAAATCTCGTCTTCCAAATTGGTATTGTACCATAAGCATACTTTGATGTTATAAACATTGTTGGAACAAGATTTGTTTCTGTTTTGGAAATATGAAATTTACGGTTTGCTGTATGCATTTCATCAAACTTATGTAGCCATTTACTCTTAAAGTAAATAGCATTTATTAACATAATTTTTGTATCTTCATAAATATGATCTGTCAAAATAATTTAATTATTTAAAATATTCTGTATAGTGTTAATCGGAATTATAATTATTATGTAATGTACCAGAAGAAATTATATCAAGTATTTTATTATTTGTTGCTTTTTGAACCCATGAATTAATAGTTTCTACAGCAAGCTCATTATTTTTGAAGTTCAATCTTGAAATTGTAGATTGAAATATATTTGTGCATATCGCTAAAAATTCAGCCATTAAGTCAAATCCATCTTGAACATATATTTTATTCGCTATATGCAATTCAATGTTTTCAATGTCCTAAAATATATTTAAATGTGCTATTCTCTGAGAATTAATTATAGGTATTATGAGGTCTGTTCTTTTTGACTAAACTTTTACACCAGTTCCTCTTTCTTTCTTTTCTCTCCAGAAGAGAAAAGAAAAAAAAACTTACTGGTGTAAAAGTTCAGCCAAAAAGAACAAGCCTATGATGTTTTCTTAATCTTACTTTCAACAAGAGAATCAGAGCCTTAAATTCATCATTCGTAGAAACTACATCGTCATAATGAAGAACAGATTTTAGTTCGTTCAATGTAGATCCTGCAGCACCATTAGAAAGTAAAAATAAAATCATATGCAAACTTAAAGGAGAAATTATAACGTTGCTGTCAGTGTTGGTTGATAAATTCTGTAATGATAAATTATAAATTAGAAAACTCGTATATACAGTTTGTATAAAATATAAAAATATAGTGATTATATACATACCTTGTATAATGGAAGTGTAAACTTGTTACATGCTGTAGATAAAGTTGTAACATAATTTTCCTGTCCAGTTAGCGACATTTTGATAAGATGATGCTAGTGCACTATGACAATCACAAATAAACCTACAATAAAATAAAGGTTGATTATAAAAAGTTAGGTTGCTGTTTTCAATAATGCTAAGAATTGATTGAAACTATATTAGGAAGTATTTGTCAATATTAATTTCACACATACATATATATATGTACCATATTCTATGCTACGTAACATTTATGACCAGACACTTTCTCATACACACACAGGCACATATTCTCTCTTGCTTTCTTTTGTAAGTAAATAAATATATTTCAAGTAAAGAAGTAAACAATTAAGATAACTGAATTAATAATTTAATATTTTACTAAACACATTTATATTTTTTTTAAGTATCATTGACCAATAGTCATTTTTATAAATGACTAGCTAAAATCTTTCTAAAAAACTTAAAAATCTGAAAATTTCGATAAAAAAAATAGACGTACGTATTGTATCGTATGTAGTTAAACTTTAATCGAGTTTCTCCTTTCCTAGGAGTTGGATGCTACTTGTTAAACTTGCGCTAGCTTATTTTACAATAAGTTAGTACGTCAGTATAGTCTGCGGTAGTCTTAACAATAGTCCTATTAAGTCTTATCGGTAAATCGATGAAATTGCCAATAGGCAACAACCAATTTGTACAATTAAAAGCCCAATTCCACTATTCATGGTTAACTCTAACCAACTCTACCTTGGTTAGACAGGTTAGACGTTAGACTGTAGATTGTTTCATCACACATATTTAGGTTAAGCCTATTCTACAATAGGATCGTAGATAGTAAAAAATGAACCAATCAAAATTGATTATTCTTTTCATATTCAACTATGATTGGCCAACTTTTTATAGTTTACGACTTGCGACCCTATTGTAGAACAGGTTTCGGACTGGTTATGATTGTTGACTATCATTAGAATCACAGCTGTTCTTGCTCTCTATATGAAACTGTAATCTGTCAAATCTCAAATCGCAAAGAAAATATGTGATTTAAATTTGGCAGATAATTTTCGACTTTAAATCATCAATGTCGATTTTTAATATTTTCAGAAAACTTTCATATAAAATTTCTAGAACTCTTACGATGCGATTTATTCTTTTATTTCCCTGTAAAGCTTAGAAAACGTTACTCGGGTGCCTCAATATAGTTATGTTCAGCAGAAAAGTAGCTTTGCAACTTATACAATTTTTGAATATGATTAATTTATACATTTTAGATCTAATGAGAAATTAAGAGAAAAGCTAATCATATTAAAAATGTGCAATAGCTGTTATTTCTGTTGAACGCAGTTATATATCAATCGTTATGTGTCCTTGTTGTTCATCCAATGTAAAACAATAAAATACTAAGATGATACACGGGAGGCATCCGGGTAATTCGAACACAGTTCTACTCCGCCTTATTACGACAAGGAACTTTTTTCTTACTAAAAGGCGATGCGCGGTCAATAAAAATACAATCCAGCGAATTTTGTAATAGTACAGCAATGAATTAATATTAAAATGACACAGTCCTTTGAAATTGAACGCATAAAACAGTAATATCGTAAATTTGTTATCTGCAATATCTGACCGGTAAAAAATTTATACATATAATTAAGTATAAAATATGCACTTAATGCATGTAATAATTAATGCGCGCTCATACATATATACATACACATATATATATATATATGTGGTTGTGTGTGTTTTCTTCCTCTTTCCAATTAGCACACAATATTTAAAAAACAATTTTTAAACATTTATTTAATATTTTTACATTAAATAAATATTTAAAAAATATTTTTTAAATATTGTATGCTAATTGAGTTGTATTTGTATAATCTCCATTCGAAAGGTAAACTTGGATAAGATGTGTGCGTGTGGCCATTTTTAAAATGCAAAAAATAACTTCCGCCTGTGGGAAGGATATAACGCACTACTTGCGTTACAGACAACAAAAATTAAATTATGTTTTCTGCATTATAAAGAATGGCCATTTTATCTAAGTTTATTCTATATATGTATGTATATATAGAACGAATTAAGAAGAAAAATTGAAAAATAATGAGGAGGATATAAATTTCGTATTTTTAAGATAAAAAAGTACATTTTGTGGAAATATATATTATATAATATATTATATACATTATAATATTACACACACATATGATATATAATATTGTAATCTTTAATTTTTTAATTTTATCTCTTTTGAAGAAAAAATGTAATATTATACATATATAATCTTTTTTTTAACGAGCGATCATTTGCGCTACTTTATAACTCATACATATCTTGATTTGGCTATAATATCCCCAGTATTCTAAAAAAAAGACGAAAGATTATTAAGATTGAAAATTGAAATTGAAATTTGCGCTGCTATTGCCAATGAACACCGCACCGGTATATACGATGGTGGTTGCCAATTAATGTCGTTAAAGATCAATATATATAGTCGACAGACTATAGTTTCATACGCAATGAGATAATCGTATACAATAGATTTTCTCTATTCCAAGGGCGGTGTACGTAATAGTCTGATTTTAATTTAATTCTAATTTTAACTTAATTAATTTATTGCATTATGAAATATAAAAAAATTACAAAAGTTGAGAGTGAAGAACAGATAAAAATGATTTAATTTTTTAAAAATTGAATAGTCTATGTGTATCATTTAGACTATATTTCAAAATTAATGTTCTTTTTAGGGATAATTTTATTCGAAATATACAGGCAGTCCCAAAATATTTGCGACTCAAAATACTACAAAAAGTTTTCGAAAAATTAAGTAAAAAAGTTATTTGTAAATCTGTATATTATTATATATGTTTATATATATATATAGTTTAGATCACCTGTGAATTTAGTAAACACTCTGAAATGTGTGCTCATCAGCGGTTACTAATATATTACTACCGTATGCGTGACTCATTGACATGACTATGTAATCATCCAAACATAGTTTGTAATTGGCATATTTAAACCTATATTATCTAAAAAGTTACTGCTTAAAATAAAAATTTACACATATAATAAAAAAAATTACAATAAGTTTTTTACTTAGGCAGAAAAGAAAGAAACCTTTCTATAGGCAAAGGAACAAAAAAAAAGGAAACTTCAGTTTTTAGTCTCTAAGAAATCTCACCATAAAAAAGTGGATAACAATAATTTTCGGGCTATTCTTTGCACTATATGACTATGAATTTAAAAATTGCGCCTAGGAAGATGTATATTTGTTTAGGTGGGGATACTATTCACGGTAGTAGGTTGTGTCGATTTAGTCTTGGTCTGTCTTGCTCTCAGTTTCGTTCTAGCCAGATTCACGGAAATGAGTGAGACTTGTACCGGCTGATAAAAGTTTATCATTTAATAATATTACGCATTTATTATTTATATAAGGAGCTATTTTATTGTCAGGTAAAGATTTGAAAATGTAGTCAAACAAAAGTGAAGATAACAGATATATAATCAAACGTGAACAACTTTACTCAAAATAGAATAAATTCCCATCAATCCGACGTTACATCCCCAACTTCTTTCATTGTTTTAATTGCAATCGTTTTAGAAATATAAAATTTGTAACACATTTCCAAGTTACGTGTATATGATGTGTGCGACTCACTGCGTGATGGAAATATGAATAAATTCTATTATTTTGCAACTGCGAATATATAAATAGCTATAATTGCGAGTGTCGTGTGTATTCCTAGCGGAAGACTAGCGGAAGATAAGGACAAAAACGGATATGTTAAAACGGTGAAATTATGGTGGATCACAGAAGCAGAAACGACTGTCGAACGTGACGCTGCGTTTATATGTATACGCTGAAGCTACATATTTATGAAGATTTCTAATTAAACAAAGTTGTGACATAAATTAGCAAGAGGATCGTATACATTGCTCCGACTTTATAACGTATAAATCAAGGAATGACTTTATATACGAATGACGAAATCATCCCGGTCCACGGATAACTTATATATACATTAAAACTTATACATACATTAACTTATATATACATATCGCATTCCGAGGCATTTAAAAACACTCCAGATTATCGTCTTCATTAAAGATTCAATGATATTTTCACCGCATCGTGCAACAGGAAGCGAAATAGTCAAATAATGAAAAACGTACCGAATTAAAATTTATATGTTATACGTTCGCACGTTTCTCTGTATGCGTGATCAAGCGTGATGAATTACGTGTTGATGATGAAGTGGCGCGCGGGGCGGAATCTTTTTAATTTCTCCGTTTTGGCAGGAGAGATGACAGCTAGCGTGGCCCATCCGACCGGTGATGCAATTTCGAATATGCGGGAGGCATGGGCAAGGGTGACTGCGTGCTCCCTAGGACGAGAAGATCGATAGAATACATGCGCGCCTGACCACATCGCGACGCGCACGAGTTCTCTACGCAATCTGTATCCGTGTTGCATACGTCTGCCTCGCGGAGTTGTGCGTTTTTTCGCGAGGTGCGGTCAGGTGCTTCGTTAGACGATTGTGACGCTTGCGAACGCGGCGATCATCAAGTCGTACCGTCGACGAAACGGCGCGAATAATAACGCCGTAAGGCTTCCTCGCTGTCAGTGCCGTCGGAACATCCCGCATCTCACCCGCAGCGTCCCGCCCGCGTTCGTGCAGTCCGCGCCGCGACGGAATTAATACCTACGCGCACACTGACCTAGAAACGCTAAACCTCACGGGACGTCATCGTTCACATCGTTGTTTCTCCCCGATAATAGATCCGGTGAGTCGATTTTTTCGGCCGATCTAGCTAAGAGACAATAATGTGCACTACTGTTTATAGCTATATATATATACGAATAATGGCAATTAAAATAATTCCAACGGAAAAAAAAAAAAATAGTAATCGCTGGTAGAGGACGATATTCATATAGACGCGTCGCAGAGTTTGTTTGTTTGACACCTGTGATAGCAATGCTGTTACTCGTGTCATCGGCGCTACACCGACCGGCACCGATCACGCTAATTACGTTAACGCGCGCGACATATCGTAATCTCTATTTATAACCGTGAAATAACATATTATGCTTGTAGCGTTTCGCGCATACCACGCTCTGTTATTTCGACATACATTCACGCGCACATCTTTCACGTTTTTCACTTCATCCGCGTTTATCGCTTTGTCTATACCGTTTATAGACTGTAGAGACCTAGACACATTTTCCACCATGCTCGCGATATTACACATATTTAAAACTGCACGAATACAATGTTTCAACAAATTGCATAAATACACTTAACGGAATTTCGTTTTCGACAATAATAAAAATTTTTCGTCCTAAGATCTAGTAATTATTGCAACTTTAACTGCTAATTGTATGTAGAATCGTAATGTAGAGAGAAATATCAAATAACTATTATACATTTTGTTATTATAATAACAAAAGTAATAATTCGGTACGTTACATTTACGTATTATATTTATTTTGCATTTAAGAATATGCGTAATAAATACATAATACGATGTAGTGCAACGTATTGAGTTATCACTTTTGCTATATATATTTAAGGATGTTATAAGATGTTAATTTCCGTTATTATCGACTCGTGATGATTTTCTGATATAGGTAAGACTTTTAATTGTGAATGATTATATAATTGCATATAGTAAAGATATAGCTATACTGATAATTGACATTTAATTAAGTAAAGTAAACAAAAATTTAATTGAAAATACGCGATCAAATCTTATCATGACAGTTTTAGCAACGTATAACAACAACTTTATCATATATATTACTAATATAAAAACTACCGTTCGTGGAAAAGAATATATCGTGACTCAAGGTATTCAATCCCGATATATGTCATTCATGTCAGTACTTATATCGGTGGTAAGCCAGAGAAAGAACTTGTGTATAATGAATGAAAATGCAACAGTTGGACTGTCTGTGCATCGATTATATCGTCTAGCGATAGACGAGACAAATAGTATATATCTTTTATAGTTGTTTTAGAAAAAGTAGGTAGCCTTAATTTTTTTCAACAGACTAACTGTATTATTTAAATTGTGAAAGGTCGCGAGTAATAAAATAGTTTCAATTTTAATTAACTGTTTTTTAACCATCGCAAATAAAATATGTATGAATATGCATAAATAGCAACGTAAATGCCGCTTTTAAATTGAATAACTAACGCACTTGATTGAGTACAGATACCTACTAAATTTTCGTTTCAGTGATTACAATGCAAGCGGAGAAGAGTGATACTGATACCGAGAAACACGAGACTCTCAACGATGTAACGACTTCGGTTGCGAATGAGGTAACAAATTTGAAGATAGAAGATGGTTCAACGAGTTCGACACCGAGTAGTCCTGGTAGCACTGAACCAGGTAGCTTTTTAGCGAGTTTCAAAGCGTTCTCCAAATTCGGTGATCCAAAGAGCGATGGTAAGCTGATTACGTTAAGTCAAAGTGACAAATGGATGAAGCAAGCGAAGGTGATCGATGGAAAGAAAATTACTACCACTGACACGGGAATTTACTTCAAAAAGCACAAGTATATCTTTAAAAAATGTTCTTCAAGTCTGTTATCTTAATAAATTTCTTTTCCTGATGAACTCTATCTGGAAAATTTATTCTTATATCTTTTTTCTTTTTACAGATCCACAAAGCTTGGTATCGAGCAGTACAAAACGTTTCTTGAAGAATTGGCTAAAAGTAAAAAAGTGGAATTAGCGGAAATAAAGAAGAAGATGGCTAATTGTGGGCCACCTGGATTTTCTGGGGGCGCTAGCGGAGTACGTGTTTATACTATAAAATTTATTTATTCAATTTTACGTTCTCTCTCTCTTTCTTTTCCTAGCGTTACAAAATGTAATAAATTTAATTGTATAAATTCATCTTCCTTTTATTCGTTGACTCGATCGCGATCTATGTCATCATATATAAATTATATTTTATCGTGTGATTTATCGCGATATGTATGAATTAACAGCGCCTTTTCATGCAATTTGCACACATAATCTCTGATTTACTCATTTTGAATTATAGGCTGGAAAAGCAGCGTCGACAGTTGACAGACTTACCGATGTCAGCAAATATACCGGCTCCCACAAACAACGTTTCGACGAAGCAGGCAAAGGTAAAGGCATATCAGGTCGAAAGGATATACCAGACACATCCGGATACGTCCAAGGTTACCAAAATAAAGATACGTATAAAGGCCAGTAGTACTCATCTGATTGCTCTAATAATAAATATCTTTAAAGTCATGCTGTTAAAATCGTGTTTAAGCGCAGTATGTATCTATATTCAAATCGTCGCTATTCGTTGTTAGCGACCTGCCTGAATTTCTTTACTGTATCATCAGCGATCTGGCAAATGTAACTTGAATATCAATTTCACAAAATTTATCATCTTTGAAATGTATATTAAGATATAGCAATATCATAATTAAGAATTTTTGGTAAAATGATATGTTTGATATTATGAGGTATAATCCTTATGAAACTTTTTGTCCTTAATGCGTTTACGTTGTATTTTCCATATATAAATTTTCCGATAAAAGGCCTGGAAAAAATATTCACTTTCCCTAAATATTATTTTTTTAAATTATTCTATTTATATTTTGTAATATGATTTTGTCATTTTTAGATATTTTCATTGTTAATTGTTTGTTCGATTTGATTATTACTATACATAATATCAATATTATTATCTTATAGTAGTTTTTTATTTACTTTATCTATAAGGTCTTTTTTGAGAGACTAGCAGTTATATAGTATTACAATCTATACTTAAGTCCACATTTATACTATACGTATACAGCTGCATATTAATATACGTATATAGTATATGTTATTACATAAAAATCTCTGTTGCATAATTTATTAAAAATGAATTTCCTCAAGTTTATATGGTTAAACAAAAGAAATAGATATTATAAATTTCATTACAAAGCATTACAACTGCATAACATGAAAACAGAATTATGTCTTGTATTTTAAATCCTGCACAAAAACTCTTTCTCTCTTTCTCTCTTTTTCTCTTTTGAATTGTTAATTTTTGAGGTAGAATGGTGCACATTATTTTTATGCATGTACTCATATATATCAAGATGTCCAGAAATTCAAGGATAATCTTACTGTAGCGTAAAAAATTAAGTAATAAAAATGCACACTACTTGCACTTTTATTACTTAATTTTCACGAAGTTTCACGCTGCGGTAAGATTATCTTTGAATTTCCGAATACCTTGACATATATACTGAAAAAAAATTAATCACTTTTAATAAATTTTTTTTCAGTGTATGTACATATATATATATAATAATATAAAATATAAACCACTTTAACCGAAAAAAAATTATATATTTAATTTTCAAGTTCTTTGTAACTCTTTGTACTGCAATTATAGTAGTTTACTTGTGTAAAGAATATGTTTGTCTTTTAAAAAGATATAATAAATGTAAAAATCACACACACAAGATAATATTAAAGATGTTAATATTGTATAAGTGACATAGATAAAAATATTCCATATGTAATTGGATAAATTATTTTCTACTATGTATATGTCAAATATATATTTTTTCTGTATTTTAAATACATTAATTAAGTGCAAAAAAGTGAAAAAATATAATATCTCCTACATCATTTATAGTATTCCTCCTACATGGAGTGTACATATGGCATTAAGTTTTTGTGTTATTATTTTTTAAGTGATACATATTGTATGTGTATATTAAACATAACATTTAGGGTAAACTTAAAATAAGATGGCCATCTTTAAAATGTACAAAAAAAATGTACTTTAACTTTTGCTATCAATATATAAAAAAATGTACTTTAACTTTTGCTATCATTATTAATAATGTTATAGTGGTATATCGTCATATACCACTTTTTCGTCATATGGATATGAAAAAGATATAACACTCTTAAAAATAACAAAAATTGAAGTACACATTTTTTGTATTTTGAAGATGGTCATCTTACTTAATTAAGTTTATCATGTACCTAATTGAATGAAGTGTACTTACTGTAACTTTAATCATTAGTCAGCGAATTCGCGTCTGGCATTTGAGACCAAATTTCGTGATTTAAATCTTAGATGTCGATGCAAAAATCGATCGTATTTATATTATTATCGCGGTCATACTACACTTTGAGTTATTAATAATTTTTTATTAAGATTTAATTTGAAGCTGCTTTATATCTATAGTAATAATAATAATAACAGTTATAATAATAATAATAATAATGATGATACTGCAATAATAATAATCTGTATTAGGTGACATTTTTTAATTTTATATTGTTGTATTATTTTACTTTCTTAAAATTATAATATCGTGGAAGAAAAAAGGTGGTTTCCATATTGCAATACATACGCGTTTAATTAACTCGGGTGTCTGCTGTATTAACAATAATCTAAAACTCTGTATAATTATAGTTAAACTATCTTAGCAAAATATCAAAAAGTAAAAAATACATATTAATAAAAAGTTAGTTTATTTGACACCATTGTTTGTTACGGAGTCAATAACATTTAACATATAGTTGTGTCCCTAATTATGTTTGGAACGCACATAATGTCTATGCGGACCTATTCGCTATTCGAACAAATTCGTTAAATATGAGCATTATGTATTTTGTGAATTATAATCTTATGTAAAGAATATTTCTTCAAGTGTAAAAGCACATTTCAATATTTTGATCAATACATATGTACAATATAGTGCCCGTTAAGTTTTCTCTCTCTCTCTTTCTCTCTCTCTCTCATACACACATGCAAACATACAAAATTAGTTAAGAATTATTTATTTTTCAATATTGCAATGTTATTTATTTCTGCTAATAATTGTGACATTTAAAGATAATGTCTAACGCAAATATACATATATACGCTGGGAAAAAATTGATTTTAAACTGATTAAATATCTGTTCTGTTATTTCGGTGATTATCATTTCATATAATGTTTGGCAAGATGCAAGCATAATAAATATTGTTGCAAGATTAAATATCAAAAGGAGAATCCTTTTCTTGGCTTAACGAACTTGATTTTTCTATCCGGGGTAAAAATTTTTGTGATTATATGTATATAATGAAAAATGAAAAATGTTTCATGTATTTAATTTATAATTATGCGTTTAATACATTAATGAATATATATACATAAATACACATATATATATGTATATATGTATACATATGTGTGTATTGTGCGATAATTCTATTTATAAAAATATAAAATACTGATAAGAACACAATTAAATAGTTTAAATTAGAATGATCTAAAACCAATTACTATACTCTGGAATAATAAAAGATCACATGTATATATGTTTGTATATGTGTATACATACATATATACATACATACATATAAATATATAAGCATATAAAAAAATTCTTACACACGCTCGTGTGCATCAAAACATTACAAAACATCAATAATTAAAAAGCAAGTTACGAATAATTTATTAAAAAATACCGCGAATCATTCAATAATTATATTTTTAGTATTGCTAATATTTTTAATATTAGCATTTTGAATTTCAATGTAGTTCAATCTTGAGTAAAATTTGACCGTTTATTAAATTTGGCCTTCGTGTTATGAATTCGTGATGACATTGTTATAAATTATCATTATTATTACTATGTATTTAAATTTAAATAGGTATAATTTTAATTTATTTGACTCTGTTTTCTAACCAAATATCATTACAATTCAGTAAGAGTATTCACTGATGCCCGAAGACGAGATTTAGCGATATAATCATCGTGTTCTTTGTTGGTCCCAGTATCATTCATTCGACAGACAATCTCATCTTTCAAAGTTGTAAGCACTCTACGATCTTGTCTGTTGTGAACTGGTGCATTTTGAAGAGCTTCCTGAACGTCCAATAGAGCATCTTCGAACATGCCTAGGTCTACGTGCGCTTTAGCTCTAGCGTAGAACGCTTCATAAGAAATGAGTCGGATACTGAGAGCTTCGTTAGCGAGTTCAATAGCTTCGGTACATTCCTGTCAAAGAATCACGTTATTATTCGTAAAAGTAGTATAAATTTATCATTGTGAACAATTAGGTCAACGTATCATCTAAAAAACTAGATTACTAACGTTCATCTTGCGTTTGCATCGGCTCAGATTTAGAAGAAAGTTCATATGAAGTTGTGTAAAAGTTTGAAGCATCATATGACTTTGTTCCTGTCCTTGGCAATCTTCTTCTGGCGAAGCTGGGAATTTTCTAAGAGCATATGTGTATCGATGCGATGCTTCTTTCAGTCTATTCTTCCGATATAAAACATTGCCATCTTCCAAAAGTTTATTTAGTAGAATTATTAAGACGTCTGGTTTTCCTGCTGCCATAGCCCATGTAGCAGGACCCAGTTTAGCACCACGACGCAAGAAGCATTGGACTACTGGTATATTACGACAACCGATAGCTCGGTCCAGAGGTCGCATACCGTGGAGATCAACATGTTCCACCGCGGCTCCCTTCTCGAGTAACAGCTGTACTAGCTTTGGATTACCCTGTATAATTATTTTGGTAAACATCAGATTGCGAAAGTAATACATGATAACATGGGTTGTGCATACGAGAGAAAAGTTTACCTGGAATGCAGCTAAATCCAAAGGCGTTCTACCAGAGTTGTCATTTGTATTGACATCAGAACCGCGATCGAGCAACATTTGTACGGCAGTTATGCGTCCCCTGACGCAAGCCCAACTGAGAGCAGTGAGTCCCTCCTTGTCTTTCGTTTTTAAAATGGCTCCTTTATCGAGGAATAGCTCAAGTAGATTAATATGACCTTCACATGCGGCTAACATTAAAGCAGTACGACCAGCGAGATCACGTTGTTCCAGAAGCGATATAGTTTCGTCCGATACTGTATCCATACTGCTGGATAAATTTCCTACGAAATATAACAATCATATACCGTTTTTATATATAATCGAATACATAATGATTTGATGACAATTTCAAATTATATTGAAAAAGAAAAAACAAACCTTGTAAAAGTCGTTCAGCGGTACCCCAATGTCCCTCCCTGGCGGCGAGCATGAGAGGAGAAAGGCCTTTCGTGTTTACAACTAGAGGATTAGCACCGCGAGCTAAAAGCGCGGAAACCGTCGCAGTCGAACCATTTGCAGCGGAGATCGTTAGAGCAGTCTCGCCTATCAATGTATCGGGACGATCTATGATCACCTCTGCCATATCCAAAAGATATTCTACAACCGCTTCATGACCTTGTGACGCAGCCGCGACAACGGCTTGTTGAGCGGCTTCTTCTCTACTTATTTCTAAAATGCCGTTTTCTGCTTTACTTTCACTGGGTGATATCCAGTCGCAAGCAAGAAGATATCCAACCACGGATAATCTTCCGTGTCTTGCCGCATGCACCAAAGAACATTGGCCGGCCATATCTACATGTCCTAATGAGGCTCCAGCGGCGGCTAATCTGTTACATACAGATATAACAATAAATAAACATTTGAATTCTATTCAATATAGCCAGTAAATATATCATTATGTTAAATAAACCATATATGTATATATATATATATATATATATATATTGTATATTATTTATACATATAATATACACATACCTTCTGACAACGTCACAATGTCCCCGGGCAGCTGCCAGTGATAGCGCGGTACAACCTTGGCTATTAGTCAATTCGACGTCGGCACCAAACTCAAGAAGAAGGGACACCATCTCGACGGAACCTTCGTGCGCGTACATGCATAGAACCGGTGCGTTACCTAAATACTCGGTAATGTGATTCGGTGATGCACCTGCCAGCAGGAGTAATCGCGATACTTTTACATTTGGACTATAAATATTTCGAAGCGTGCACAATGCTGAGGAGATGCATTCGGTCGATAGAGTCAGCCAAATTGCCTGAAGATGAATGGAGCTCGATTAAGTTATGCTTCTACATTACGCTCGATTACTATCTTATGTTGATTGTAAACATACTTGTAAATCGCGCGAAGGCCAGCATGGAGCTACACCTCTATAAACGTGTGCCTTTAACACATGGTGACCTAATTCTAAAGCTTTGTCACCATCTAATGGTGCTTGAAGGCGAGATAGTCTGAATGCTATTGCTGCATGACCAAGTCTGTAGTCACACAGGAATTTTGTTGATTCTCCTTCATCTCTTCTCATCAACCATTCCCTGAACGATGGATGGAAAAACATGTATGTATTGTCCAAGCGTTTCACAAGAAAACCAGAGAGCATCTGATAAGGAAAAACAATATTATTACATATAAGTTGATGAATATATTATACATTAAGAGAGTTGAAATAACATTTATGTAACATATCATGAAGTCTGCGACTATCAAATTATACACATGTTAACAAGTAATCATGTGTCTTCAAATATTATATATGTAAGGACATTTATTAATTCAAGATAAATATTCGCGCACGCGTTTATTTATTTAATTATTTTTGATAAATCCAATTGTATATTATCGTTATTAAATTATATTGTTTTTGCAACTTACTTTGTTTTTGCACTGTGTAGCATAAAAACAGAGACAGAGAGAAAAAAAGAGTGATCAATTTACATATTATACTTATTATAATAATCCACTTTGGAAACACACACAAACACAGTTACAGCGCTATATATATATATTACATCATTTAATATATTTAATATACTTGCCTTAAATCTCTGTAAAAAATCATCCCATGAAACAAAATGATCTATATTTAATGAATTGATGGAATAGAAAATTTCAGGTAGAGTCAGTGGATACAGAGCTGCCAGACAAACAGCCAGAAGAGGTTGTACTTTGTCGAATGATGCCGCCGTAGGAAATCTCAAGTTAAAATGTAATTGAAAGATCTGCGCGAGAGAAACTGGTAATACCTACGAGGTAAAATATCCTCTCTTGTTATTAATTCCATTCCCTTTATAGTACTGTCAATATAATTACGATTATAGTTAAAATAAAGATAAAGAATATGATTGCACGTACCTTGTAACTCGCAGATTTAGCGACTAAATGTCCGCTCTCAATAAGATCGAGCGTCAGCTTAGCGAAGAGAAAACTACCTCTGGCTAGAGCGAGCAAATGTGAAGAGAATCTTGTCTGATTCGCACTACACGATGATTCTGCCTTGCCGTTTACCGACGCAGTTACATTCGATTGGATGGAAGGACTTTGCGCTAATCTATAACCGACGTAATCAGATAAATCCTTCGCGATGCTATTACTGATCGTATCGTTCGCAGTCTTGTCTAACGAGATTCTTGTATATGGTAATTGCTTTGCGCAATCCAGCAACTGTGTCCTGACCGTGCAAACGATTTTTAACCAACTGGGAATGTTAGGTGCATGCCTCGTTAGGAAAGAAGCTATAGTGTCACCTCTGTCCGGTCTGTGATACTCCGCTTCGCAAAAGGCATCAATCAATATTACCTGGAAACAAAGTGTATCGAATAACGTCTGCGACAGTGTAACGTTTATGTTAATATGTTTATTCGTCAGTGAAAAAAACAATTGTAGCTATTTTGTTTCACCTACCATATTCGAAGCTGGCAATCTATTGGCTTTCTTCAGAGTCAAAAGCGGTTCAATAATACCTCTCGAAAGCGCGAGATCTGGGTCAACCGTACATTCCCTTTGTGACAATGAGCCTTGAAGATGAGGCTCAGATAAGAGGTATTCCCTATATGAGATCAATTGAGGAGCCTGGCAAAGTTGTGCCGCTAACGAGTGAATTAAATCTGGGACTAGGCAGGTACTGTTATTATCAGCTTGACAAAAGTGATAAGCCACAACATGTGATGCTAATTCGCGCACCTATAATTCGATATAATTGATATACATCTTTTTCGTAAAGTTCGAAATTGTAATATAAACGCTGATAATCGCACCTTTTCGTTAGTATGCCGAATGTTGGCTCGTAAAGTAGCGTTAGTATTCTGCTTCTCTCTCTCGTCGCATTCCTCACTCACTTCTGCAGATTTTGACTGTTCTCTTCTTCTTCCAAAACAACTATGTTCCACTAATTGTAAAACGAGTGCAGTTTTTCCCGTGCCTGGCGATCCGGAAATCAAAATGCCAGGACTGGAGCCATTGATCACGGATTCTAATTCGTGTAACAACCACTGTCGTCCTGCGAAAAGAGGATCTTCTTCTAATAAAGGCACCTCGAAGAATAATGGCTTCAGGTTTAATTGCGTTGTTGAACTATGATGCTGAACGAAACGTACTAAAATGAACAGATATATGGATATCATGTATGCATTCGCAAATATGTTGCATATTTGAATTCGAGTGGTTAAAGAACAAATATTACATTTCGCATCCATTGAATTTTTAGCGTTGCCGGTTCTCGCCGATCTTCGGACACAAGTCCGTCTGTTTTTAAATTGGCCGAACTCGTCAGTTTGACCCACTTGTGTGGTATTGACAGAATGTCTTCTAGGCACGAGTGGACTGGAACTACCGTTCGAGAGACCTGATACTGACACGGACATAGACATGGACATTGATGTGGATGCAGATAACGATGTGGAAATGGATGCCAGGCTACCAGCACTATCGCAGTCTCTGCAAGACTTAGTCTTGCCTTTGACCTTGGTTTTCGGCTTGACAGGACATCGCAGTGCCGCCGCGGCCTCTGCTTCACTCGATGTGCCCGTCAAAGTTGACACTGGGCTTGTATTCGTTGATGCCAATGTCTGCGTTTCGAAGCTAGTCAGGCTACTGAAGGAGGCTGCAGAGCTATCATGTCCTTGTATAGGAGTTCGCGAAGGACACGCGCTTGATTCCACGCTCGCGTTTGCTCGATTGGATCCCAATAGCAAACCCAATCGCATGTACAAATCCGATTGTGACGATTTTCTGGTTTTCGAAGATAACGGTTTCACGCAACCGCCCTCATCGTCTGCGAAAGAGAAAAGTTAATTAGGCGATATATAAATATAAATAGACTGACATAGAATCTACAAATCCAGACAGTGCTGACCAATACTGCAAGTGCTTCGTGCGGTGTATCTAAAAGTTAATTGACGGGCAAAACGAAAATCACACTTTACTAATAGTAAGACACGCTTAGGCGAATATATTATAATAAAAAATATCATTTTAAATTGAAATAAACTACTATCAAAAGTTTTGCAATGTCGCAAACGCTAATTGTGTGGTTATCACTTGTAAACATTCTATGTTGGTAAATTTTTATTCCGTCCGTCTAAACGTGTCGTTGTAATACAACATATTAAACATTGCAAAATGTGAGAAATCAAATGCTATATCCAAGCATATTAATTATAGATAATACAAATAACAAAGAATTTTAAGAATAGCACATCCATTGAGGTATGTCATATATCTCTTATCTATTTGAATCTATTTAAAAGTTTTCAATCTATTCTATAATTCTTTAATAATACTTCTTATAAAAATGGAATTTCAATCAATTTGAAATGCGTATTTAATTTGGAAACCAGTAATATAATAATAATAATAAAAAATGCGCCCAGTTGAACAGCAACATAATTCTGATAAAAGCAATTCGTAATAATAATAAAATAAAAAATAATTACAAATTACATGTCATGCTTCTAAAACCAAACACTACGAAAGAGCGGTGTTATCAAAAGGGAGTTATTTCTTCTTAGAACAGGACATGTACAAAAATCGTGAGCTTATACTCGCGCGCGAGATAGTTTTTATACTTTTATGTTCATTCTCGCAAACTCCAAGCATCTCAAACGATAGCGATACAACATCGGATTTTAAAAACTCTTCCTGCCTGCAATTTTATTCGTCGAACTGATGAGCTGATTCAACCCGTCGTTAGCCGTGCCTTGACTATTACTCCACAGAGACTTGATTTTTCCCAAAACGACACCGGGCCATCTCGTTTTTCCTTCCAAGGACGTAGTCCAAACTATATATGTATGCGTGCAATTTTGATATTATCAAGATACTTCACATGACTCGAGTCTCGAAATTTTTTCTTTGAGAGAAATGCGATTAAGCAACAATACGGAGTTGATTTAATAGTAAAAAAAAAAGTACCTGATAAAGCGGAAGGATTATCATTTATGATCGGTTCGGGTGAGGATGCCGTGTGTCTCGAAGATCTCTGGACAGCAAAGGAACTTCTGAGCACTTTTGGGTTGAGGAAAAATCTTCTTCGTTGATTTGGTGGCGTGGGACAGCCTACGACATCGATTTTACGTTTTTAATCTTCATTGCATTTTGATGTAAAAACTACATTCGATTATATGTTTTGACGTACTTTGCGACATTTTGAGTTTCGGTCGATCTTGAAAAATAGAAGAAACTGGAAGTGGCGAAGCCTTACTTTTTAAGTTCTTGGCTACTGTTATCAACGAGAGATTTTCTGCCTCGCCTCGCTGAAAACGAAGTAACAAATATAGATGAGCAAAATCGCGCGAGATATTGTGTGGATTTATGCGATCGATATAATTTATATTATTAATAATAATAAATGAAGAAATAACGTTAAAAAAACTGCTTCTTCTTTTGGCATTTATTGGTTTTTTTTTTAAAGGCATAATACAAACGTATACCGTTATTTAATTATTTCGCATATTCAAGAGTACGATACATTGAAGATGAGAAGGAAAAGCAACAATTTAACGTTTTTTTTTTTGTTTTTCTCCTTCGCGGCAAAAAGCTTACGTGTAGAACTTGCGACGGCAGATTAGCTCTCGTGGTGATCTTCGAGCGCAACCTGGGGCTGCCACAGAGAGAATTCACCGTCGATGACTCATCGAGCCAACCATCCGTAGGCGCGAAGGTGGACAGTGGAACCGAGGAAACGTTCCTAAGAGATAGCTCTTCCAACCCGTCGTCGTCGTCATTGAGTCCGTAGCCACGCAGGCAGAGTGGACAGATCTCGCTGCGAAATAAACAGGAGTAGCAGCGTTCATGACCGCAGGAATCAATCAGGCGACGCTTCTTGCCCTTGTCAAACGGCATCTCGCAGGATGGGCACGTAGATCCACCCAGCATCCCCGTCGATTCGACCAACGCTCGTATCTGCGCCAAGTCTGCGAAGAGCACATTTTATTTTTATTTTCCTTGATATAATTCTTTGTTTGTCTCTCTCTCTCTCTCTCTCTCTCTCTCTCTCTCTCTCTTCTTCAATTTTAAATTTAGTTTGTTATCTCTCTATCTTATAGTTACTATTTTTATTTTTACTATTATAATTATTTCTATTACTATTATAGTTATTTCTCTAACTTTGCGTTCATTTTGTCTTATGTTGTAATAATTGTTATCTCCGTTTATCACTATCTTATGTATTAAATTTTATCATCATAATCTTTGCCTTCATTATCTTACATTGTAAATATTATTTTTTTTTATTTTATTATATGCCACTTTTTCATCTCATTTTCTCTCACCGCTTTAATCTTACAATTAGAGATCTTAACTAAAATATTGATAAACGCCTTTCTCTCTCTCTCTCTCTCTCTCTCTCTCTCTCTCTCTCTCTCTCTCTCTTCCTTTCTCGGAAATGGTAGAATTGTATTTTATTCAACAATCCAATTTAAACCTTCCATCCTTCAAGATATCAAGATATAAAATAAGCGTTAAGTATAAAAAACAAGAAAATATGTTCGATAGCAAAAAGTTGAAATGTAATTTCGACAAGAATATCTCGCGCGAGTCAAAATCAACGTGCGACTTTAAAGGCCGACGGCTATTTCCAGATTCGATAGTTATAGACTCATCCGCTGACAATAAATCAAATAAAATTTAGTATGTCGGTTAGTGAAGAAAGTCATGTTCTCTCACATAGCATGCTTGTTGATCACGCGGAAATAAATCGATCAGTAACGCGAATCCGAAGGCACCATTGTATATAACGAAACATTCTATTGTAGAAAGTAAGGTCAAGAAATTTCGCGCGCCCGCTCCTCTCGATCGTGACCTTTTTTAACTGCTTCACGAACGATATTCTATTCGCTCGATTAAGATTTAAAGACCGTGAGAATTTCTTCGCATGCACTTGCGTTCGTTTCGCTGAATACATTCAGTATTTGTATTATATGTTAGATCGCGCTCGCGATCGAGCGTCAATTAATTTGAAAAGAGCTAGCCGAATGCGGGAAAAATCGTGATTGTCATAAATGAAGATGCGGCAGACATCCGAAGAACAGGGGGACCGAAAGAGAGATAAATGTGTGAAAATTAAATTCATCCTTTCGACGGATCAAGTGCGGCAAACAGGGAAATGGAAAAGAAGATGAGAGGAGAATAAAAAGAGGAAGTCGCACGACCTCTCTCGTGCCGGTAACTCCGCGTGAGGCAGGTGCAACTCCGCGCGACGCGGCGCGGAGCGGCGCGGCGCGACGCGGAGGATCGCCTGGGTTACCGTAAGCTGGGTCAACGCACTGAGTCTGGTGCGCGTGGTGCGCGTCGCAGAAACCTCGCTTCTCGTTTTCTCATCGGAAGACTTTACTGACTCACACGTCTCAGTCGTAGGATCCAGTTTCCACTATTCACATTGTGCGTCGTCTCACGTCGATCGCTCGCCTCGATCCCCACAGTCGACAGATACCAATCCGACATCTAATGGACAGGATCGTCTCGCGATATCTAATCTGTTAGATTGACTCGCACACACTGTGCAATACGAGATTATTTATATTTTATTATTATCTATTATATAGATTAATTTTTGTATGTTTAAATCTTCTTGTACGTCACACATCCTCGTGTACGTGACATATTATATATTATTGTTTTATTTTATATTAGCTTTAAGTAATATACTAAAAGAAAAGATTGGCTGCCGCAATTAAAAATTGGCTGTTACAGTCAATTAAAAATGCTATCTATGTCATATTCAGCCGATCTTTTTTTTTTCAGTTTATATATTTCTTTAGTTCTACTGGTTTAGTTTTAAATATCAACGTGCTACATATATATCATTCTTTTCTCATTAATACAGCTGTGCTCTTAATCGATTATTTCACAATCAGTTTAAATAAAAAGAACGGTAACTTTAAATCGTGCGTAAAAAGTTGCTTCCTTTCGGTATCGCATTATCGTTAAACTGGATCGATTCGTTTTGCTAACGCCAGTGAAACGCGATCTCTCACGATGCGGCATAAACAATTCTGCGGAACGACAATAAAACTACCGTAAATATTTAACACGGCATAGCCTGTAACTTTTGTACGGGCATCTCGCGCCATTAAATATTCTTAAGAATCCGCGGTACGAATTTCGCCTATTTTAGCATCCAGTTATCAATCATACATAATTTTGTAGATAATGATGATAGTATTCAAGAAAAAGTAAGTTTAGATCTCAAACCTCCGCCAAAAATAGTTCTGTCTTGTCCATTCTGAATGTTCATTCTTCATTTTATTATCTGTGCTTTCACGCTTTCAATTATCTTACGATTTTTTTATTCTACAGTTGAACGTAACTCCCAAAATTCTCTTTGTTTTTATTATTTATACTCTCTTCTAAAGACTTTTTTATACGTCCAAGCTGTCATATAGGAACTAAAGATTTCGTTAATTATAATATCGATATTGTTACTCCAATACTTCTTGCTCGAATATAGTTTAGACATGTTAATAAAACACTATGTCTAGCAAAACGTAATAGTAAAGAAAAAGATGCTATTCAAGAATATTATGGACTGCTGTGTTATTATGTTGATCTTTTGGCGCCTAGGATACGCTAAATAGTTTTCTAATGACATACGGATACCTTCTACGTATAGTAGTAAGATATTTGTCGTATTGGACAACTTGAGTGATGAGCCATCAAATAAAATAGCATTATTAGCAGGTCAGAATTACTTTCGGATCTAAACTTATTTTTTTTAATATAACCATTATTATCTACAAAATTATATATGATTGATGACTAAAGGCGTGGCCTAAAACCCTTACCATATATAAATGGGCCAAGTTTTTTGTACAATTGTGTTGAACAATATTGTCTAAATGAGAATTCATTCACCCGTTTCTTTCAAAATGACGACGAAACACGACGTGTCTCGACCTCGATGTAACGAAAACGGGGGCGATTCAAGTCCGTTCGCCAAGCGGGAAAACCAAGTGGAACGGAGCAAAACGGCATCCAGACCAACCAGAGACCACCTGTTGACTGATCTGCGGTCAGCTTCTCTGTCCTCCACTTCCGTTCTTCACACGTTCCCATATAGATGACCCGAATCAATATACCGAACCATAAACCATCGCGTTTTCTCGTTTAACAAAAACAATATTTCAGCACAATTAAAATTCATGCCACCTTTGCTTTTCTTTTAACACATGTTTAAATTTACAAGACAAAAAATATGATTTATCGATTATATATAATAGTAATACGTTATAATTTATTAACTTCCTTATTTCCTACCGATAATATTCCCGTGAATTTGAAATGTCGATCTCGTATTTAATGGTACTAGGAAAAAATGCAAGGTATCTTGACTCCTGTAAAATTAAAAAAAAAACAAAATGAAAAACAGAAAACGAGACTAATAAATTTGAATAATAATATAAAAACAATAAAAGATGGAGGTCACCGAATGGAGAACGGTAGTTATATCTGGTCGTCGTTTCGGTTTCGACGAGTCACGTGTATTAATCGTTATTCGGTGCTCAGAAAAGTGAGAGAAAGTTACTCTACCGAGGTGCTCGCCTACAGTTCTGCTGTATTTAAATCCTGTCGGTAACTTCGATATACCGGGAGGCTATGAAATATTGCGATACCTGCACTAACAATAAATCATAGCGTTTCTTAAAAGAAGATTATAAACGTTCAACAACATTTTAAAATTTAAAATTAACATAAACAAATATAATTCTGTGTTACTTTTTTGCACCAATAAGTGTGAAGTCTAGAACTAAGAGAAAGTAAGAATCGAAAAGTTTAATGAAATTAATCTAATGGAAAATTGATCAATGTCCAGAGCTTGCTAGATTATCTTTCATCGCAACGCACTGATGAGATTGGAATTTACCTAATTTGTTTCTACAAAACGTAATATGATTCGTCATTACGACGACGCCGTCGCTGATAAGATATATTAGATAACAGACATCTATGGATCTCATGCCTCGTGATAGACTAAATAAAGAAAAAAATGCTTGTGCTTATCATTTAGCCGCGCTCCTTTTTATATCAGAAAATTGCGACATAACTTGACATCTTGCTGTTATAATTATCAATGTATTTTGTAACGCAAAACATCTTTACATACATAACTGTACTAAAAAATTATTCTTTTCTTCATAGACGCGAGATTATCTCTTCTCTCTTCTCAAATAACATAATATAGCTTTAACAAATTTTCAAGCTTATCTGTCGCCTGGATTATAAATATTTATACATTTAACGTTTGCACGTGGCTTCCACGAATATGGACGCAAATATTAATTTAGATAACGGCGTCATATTACGTATGTAGACCCGCCTTAAATGCAGTTTCTAAATAAATGCGATTTTCGCAACAAACACAAATCACGAAGCTTGCAAATTGAATAAAATTGTTAGTAATAAAAGGCAATAATTATATACTTCATTTTTTATTATTCGTTTTTCCATAAATTCTTTTTATTAGCTTTACTTTTAAGGAAGGAAAATTTCTGAATATATATTATATGCACTGAAATCATCAACTAAATATATTTAAACAGATTAAATCATCGTTAATTTTGATCGCTGTTTGCTGGTTATTTTTGTGTGTGTCAATAATTTGTAAAATCTCTTTTTTTTTCATGATTCAGTCAGTGCATTATACAGCTCCCACTGTCCATTGTTTTATTCCAATCGGATGATAAGCTAGCTTATTTCGGATTCTTTCGATACAATTACGTACTTGTTTCTAGAAAATAATATTCTAAACGCCGATATCATTTTGATAAATAGGTTGACATTTCGATAAATAAGATGATAATATCGATATCGGTGTCTGCATTATTTTAAATCAAGATTATATTCTAAAAAGTATGAACAACAATTATTTTACAAACAATGTTTAAATCTATATTACTAAATATGAGCTCAGTGTCATTATCATCATCTTTTATCATATACGTTAAGAAATGTGTCGTTGTGCAACATATGTGATTGTGCTCCACTTTCTCCTTTCACGGTTCACACAATTGACACAATTCTGCTCAATGCGGAATTTGAGTAAGGAACAGACCGAGATTTTAAATAAATTGTAATAGTATTCAATTTCTATCGATATAAAAAATCAATAAGAAGTAAATATCAAATATATATATGTGTGTAGGTCTATGGATACAGTGGTTATACAGGTTCTTGATTCTCAGAATGGATAGCGAGACGTGACACGATCCATTGATCGTAAGACTGCTGGTCGCCGCCTCGCTATTCTACGTATTTCTCACATACGAGACAACCGCCCACAGTACGTATAGATTTGCAATACTACGTCGTAATATTTCGTAAATTATACGAAAGAAAATTTTTGCTTGTCTCAGATTAGAAATTTTAAATTTGTATCTATTAATAAGTTATAAATCCATTGACTATTCAGTCTTTATTTTTAGAAATTATATTTTTAATTGATATATTTGTTAAATATTGATTATTATTAACAGATATCATTCTAAAGTCTTAAGAGAAGAAAATGTACACAAATATAATAGAATGCACTTTCAATTAATATGAAAATTCGGTCTTTAGATATTTAAGGAATGGAATTAAAAATCGGGCAATTTCGTCTAATTTATTTATCACTATTTGAATAGTTTAAATAACATCACATGTTCAATATCCTTCTTTACACATTACACAGGAAGATCTATGTTATATAAAATATATATTACGTATAAGATTTGTGTGCGTTAAAAAGAAAACATTTTATAAATTTCTGATTGGTCCAGAAAGTGAAGTCTTCGATGCGATGAGAAAGTGAGTCACACAATTAATACTGTGAGATCACCGCGCGATATACCTCTTTCAATACTTACTTCGCGTATACGTAAAGTTCAAATAATGTATTCACGGAGTATTCAAGAATCTCTTTTACGAAAGGAGATTCGTCAATCATGAAGACTCGGCTACATAATCAGATGTTGTATGTTCGTGTCAGCGTTACAGGTTGAAAGAGACTCTGCATCCTGACGAAGTGCGTAAACAGGTATATATGTGTTTTGCGAAGATGTAATGCGTGACAAGAGTACAATTATAAGTACGTCATGAATCATGTTGAAGCGTTAGTAAATTCAAATCCCTTTTTCACAAGCCACGTTGCTTCTTGAGGTGCACCTCTTGAACGAACTATTTCAACTGACCTACTTATCGATGTGTTATCGATGTATGGTTGTGGTTTTCATCATAATAGAAAATATGTTTGAAATAGATGATAACACACGCACACACGTACATTTATTTAAAAATATATCGCACAAAATATATCGTAATTTTAAATGCATATATTGATACAAGCATTGATACATGTGCATCGATTATAATTATTTATAATTTGTTTATGTATATATATATATTATATATTACAGAGATTGACATAATAATTAAAATTTGTAAATATATTCGATGTGAGATATATAGATGTGTAAGTTTTAGATGCAAGTGATAGAGAAAGTTAGACGCTGTTGTATTCAGGGCAAGGTGCGCGTTACAGGTGTGTACATTTCGTAACGATTTGTAACGTATTGCAAGTTGTCGTGAGATATTAGTGGATATAATATGTAGTTTTCCATATTCAACAAACGCGTTAGAATTGCGCGAGAAAGATTCTTTCTAAGGACTTATTTTGCGTATGAGTAATAAAATTATTACGCCAAGTTCTATTAGATCTATTATTAATTTCGTTTTAATACATATTTATATGTAAGTTTGCAAATTAGAATTTTTTTAAACTGTCGATAGATTTATTCTAATTACATTCTTTGATCTGCAGGGGATGTCTTCTCTCTTATCATTCAAATAACAAAAACGATATACGTAATGTAATTGTTAGGGTGGTTGTATAAAATTCTTCTTTCACAATATCTATATTAGACCAAACGAAAAGAATGAAATTCCAGTGCGTGTATTTGCTTCATATAATTAATAAATCCGTCTGTTCGCGATACACGTCAAGTTATATTTCAAAATTGAAATACCATCTATATTTCTCATTCTATTACATTTATAAGGATCGTAAAAATTGTTCCTGGGTGCAAATAAAGTGAAGCAATAACAGTTCCGATGCGGCGTCAGTGCGATATCGGTGATAATTGAAAGCATGTCGAATCTCAAGAAGGCTTTTCTTGGCTTCGCTCTGAAGTTAATTCCGTCTTCCGATAGTAATAACGGCGTCTTATCTGCGCGTCGACCATCGACGCGTGCCTCTGTACGGTCTAACACAATCGGCTAAATACAACTAAGTGAATATCGAGCAAATGCATTTTCCCTTTCTACCTTTCTTCCTCCTCTCAGAGTAATTGCATCGCGTCAAACTCGATAATGCATCAAGAAGAAAATAATTGTTTCGAACGGACAATGCAATAAAAAGCGTCATCTTTCTTTTTCTTTGGGAAAAAAGTTTTCTTTTCAAAAACTATCGACAGTGTCACTTTAGTCATTGGAATTATATCGTAATGATGTATAAATGCGTTAATTTTAAAACTTAAGATTCTAAATTATATATATTCTATTCTATTTCATACCATTTTATAAATTATATACCGTTATACTATTTTACATTCTGTATTTTAAATTTTCGACGTAATAAATTCTTGATTTCACGTAAAACATTTATTTATTTCTATGTATAATACGCAAAATTTACATCTTTTTACATTTATGAATATATTTGCGTACACCTAATTCAACATATCCTTTGTGACAAATCACATTTAACTCATCCTTATAGTTTCTATAAAATCATGTCAATATCTGGCTCATTTTCGATTGAATTTTAATGTAGAAGAGTTCTAAGCGTGGCATATGGTGACAAACCTGATTAACCTTTCGAAATAATTTATTGCGATTAAAACCAGTTCACTACAGACAAATATACACGCGTATATATACATACGTGAATATACATGAACATGAAAACGGAAGTGTTCCATTCGAGAGAACACCTTAAACATATAAGTATTTCGAATATAGGTATAGTAATACACGTCAATTTCCCGCGGTTTTAATTTGCACTTTTTATTCAACATCAAGTTGAATCTTGTAGCGTTTAAGCTAAAATTAAAGATTACTATTATTCCATAATAGGATGAGATGTACTAACGCTTGATAACGGATTAATTACTTACAATTAGTCATAAATTAAACTTACATTATCAAGTTACTTTTTGAAGTACTACTGTCCTTCCTAGAGAGATAAATCTATCATTTTAGAAGCATTGCGTGTAATAATTTTCATATAAAAAACATTAATCAGATCTTACATAATGTTGTTATCAAAACCATAGCATGCGTGTATAAGAAAGTTTCATCGCGTCTCTAATAATTAATGTGTGACAGCACGCGATTTAAGTGTCACAGAATCAACGCGATTGAACCGTGCACGATGAGTAGACATTCTCTCTCTCTCTCTCTCTCTCTCTCTCTCTCTCTCTCTCTCTCTCTCTCTCTCTCTCTCTCTCTCTCTCTTTCTCTACATATTTCATACATATATATGTATTCGCACCTGCGCGCGCGCTTGTGTGTGATTTGTGATGTCGTATATATTTTGGGTCTCTACAGAAGGAATAATATGTTTCACAATGCAAAAGAGATGGTTGGCTGGCGTATACTGACAGGAAAGAGATGACGAGACAGACGTTGGCAGAGCAAAGAGCGCGGCGTGTTGCATGCACGCGCGTTGTAATGCGCGCGCCTGCATGCTAGGGTAACGTGGCCGATAGATACGTGGATAGGTAGATAGGTAGGTAGGTAACCCGAGACTCGATGAGAGGTCAGCCTTCGTAGATTGACGGACGCGATAAATCGAGCCGCGGTGACACCGGGGCTCGAGTGACGCGTAGCGAGACAAGGCGATGCGGACGCGACGCGACAACCCACTGACCTGCGAATCCAATGCATAGAGTTTCTCTCTCTTTCTCTCTCTCTCTCTCTCTCTCTCTCTCTCTCTCTCTCTCTCTCTCTCTCTCTCTCTCCCTCTTTTTCTCGATAATAAATTTTCTTGCGAATGTTGAGAATATCAATAATACCACTAATGTATTTTATTAATTAACTCTAATGCTAACAGAAAGGTTTATTTCTAGCAGTTTCTTTTATTTTGTTAGAGCTGTCATACGATATGTAATTGAAATAATACTATAATATATTGCAATTTTTAGAACACAGGACTGGAATATGAAATCTATTGCAATTCCATATGTATTTTGAACGAATAAATTTTAATCCGTTCACACCCAAGTTTAATATATATGTGGAAAATTTACTTTAAAAAAAAAAAAAAAGATTAAATTTTCAGAAAATCAATCGCGCGAAATGATTCTGCGACTATGTCGAAAGAAAAATAACGAGTGCTTGTCACGATGAAAAAATAGACAATGCAAAGTGCAAATTAAAGTACTCACCTAGCACGGAGAGGCTGAGACCGGAGTTAGGGCGAGGCGATCTGTCGGGGGGCGCCATGTCGCTTCTCTCTCTCTATCTCTCTCACTTTCCTTCTTTTTTACACTCTCTTCGCTTCGTGCAAATGTTTCTTTCTTATTCTTTTTCACCCGCAGAAATTCTCGTACATCTCATGGTGGATATTACACTCGAGTCACATCACGCACAACACATACAAATTGGAGCAGAGACAGAGAGTAGCGCGCATACGGCTGATGGAGAGATACGCAAACGCGCACCTGACAATCGCCCGAATCGCCGATTTGCGGCTATGATGGAGCACGTATGGTGAGTACTGTGAGTACTTGAGTAGCAGTGAGTGGAGAAGCTACGCGATCTCGCCGGGGCTTCCGATGCATCTCGCGCCGTGGTCATTCTCCTTTTCTCATCTTTGTTCTTTCTGCTTCTCTCTATTATTCTTATTTTTCTCCAAACATTGGCGAGACGTCGAACGCGGAAACGCGCTACGAAGGTTCGTCGCGCACTGACTGTCAGTAGTGGCAGTAGATGCCAGTGACTGCTAGGCAGTGCTGCGGCTGGCGTTCGGCTTCGGCTCGAGCGCGAGGCACGAGCGCAGCGCGGAGCAACGAAGCGCAGCGCGGCGTATAGCGCAGCGCAGCGCGACGCAGCGCGGTTGAGAACGCTGGGCCCGGTTGGCTTGGCTGATTGGCCGGCAGCCCCGCAGCAGGTCGACTTGGCTTGCTCGACCGCCGCGCTGGTGACCGCTCCGACAACTTTGCCGATCCTCACGGTCGTTCTTACACAAGCGCGTTTTCTATCTCCGTCTTCCTTTTTCTCCCTTTTCCTCCCGATTCGCTCTATCAACCTCTCTCCCTCGTCGCGTCTTTTTCGCCTTCCGTCTCGCGTCGCGCTAGAGCGGTGCGGAGCGGTGCGGAGCGGTGCGTGTGCGTTCCCTATGTCACGCTCAGATTGCCGCCAAATCTTCTGCCCTGGCGTCTTACGTATGTGTACGTAACATATACGTGTATACTACTGTGACACTGTAACAAAGCTCGGTCATGAGCGATTTTGTTAAAATCCTACCAAAGAGAAAGGTACATACTATATAACTGCAGTCTCCCTGTATTTTATACATTATCTCACTCTATAACTTCCCAGCGAACACCAAATTACATATACCGTACATGTTAATTGTATAATGTTTGATTCAACAATGTAACTGTAATATATAATACACTATGAAAGAAAAGATTGGCTGCTGCAAGAATTTAAATGGCAAAATATGGCACAGCGTATTTAATTGGCTATAACATCCAATTTCTGCTTGCAGTGACCAATTTTTGGTCGCGTTAGCCATCCGCAATACGGATACAACTAAAAATCGATTGTAGCAGCCAATTAAAAATGTTAAGCCGTATTCAGTCAATCTTTTTTTTTTAGTGCACGTACGTTATGGTATATTGTAGTTATATATTGTTAAGTCGGATATTACAACTGACATGTATGATACATGTCACCTGGTGTTTGCTGGTATTATCTCACTCTGTAATTCTAACTAAGATTAATTATACAGTGAGATAACGTACGTAAATACAAGGAGATAGTACGAGTATGTAGACCTTTTTCTCTCTCGTACAGGATTTTGACAAAATCGCTCATGGCTAGACTCTGTTATGGGTCTCTGTAGGGTTTATCATGGAAGCTGTCACTTTCTGATTTTCTACAGGTGCTATAAAACGTGCTGTTTTGTTAATCGCGATGTCGTTAAACTTGTCACGTGTCTAGCAAAATTTCCTACGCGAAAAATATCTTTGGAAAAGAAATAAATAAAGCGAAAGCGACCATTAGATAATTACGAGTGATATTGGAAAACATCATAAGTCTCTCATTCATAGCCTATTACTTTAGCCACTTTACTTTTTGATAGGATACACAAGAACGTCGTATCTATAGAAATAACAGAATAAAATTATCTTTCATGTGTGTGTGTGTATCATAATAATTCTTACAAGAGCTCACGTTTATAAACGATCGCATTGGATACGTATAGCGAGTGAGAAGGGATATTTAACGAGCCAACGAGCTTCCTTGTGCGACATAAGTGCCTCCTCGCTCTCTAGGATCGCATTTAGCGTTTGTATTCGCGAATACAGTACTTTCTACTTTCACATCCCAGCCTAATATACGATCTTTATATGTGCGTACTCTATCGTACATTTTTTTCTCCTTTACGTTGCATCGGAAGGTCATCGGAAATCCATATAGGAGAATTCCGGGACAATATTGAACATCTCCGACGATCGTAACGAAAAAGAGAAAGGGTACATCGAGAAAGCCGGTGTGCACTCATTCTGTTTTTTTTTCTTCCATCTTCGATTCAGCCGACGGTGTCGAGTGGTAAATCTTACGCGATCCCATGTCGCTTCCTCTATATCGATAATTACCGATTCGCGAAAACATTGACGAATCTTTTTCGGATCGGTAATTGTCAATATAGGGGATGGTATCAGTCTGATTGGACACCAGCCTTCTTTTAAGATTTCATTGCCTCGAACGGCAAAAATATTTGACTGACGATTGATTGAATGGGTGTTTTGAGGTGAGGAAAAGAGTAGGCTGCTCGATATATTATGTAAAGTAATTCTAAAATAAAATAAACTCGAGAACAAATATAATTCTATCAATGATTTAAAAAGAAAAGATAATTTACGTTGTATAGTAAAATTTCATCTTTGGTACGGTACTCGAGCAACTATTGTTATTTTTTCTCAATTGCATGGGACGCGTTTATAAATACATGTATACTTTCAGAAAGGCTCGGAAAATGGTAGCGTATTAACAAATTAGCGAATTAGCGATACAGTTGATTTTACGTCTCGATGGTAGCCGACGTGCAAACGGGTATATATTTTGTTGCACCTTTCTACGTAGGCTAGGGCAGCGGATATGGGTGGGCGGACCGGGGCCAGGATCGGGGCCATAGTGATGCGATCCAAGCAAGCAAAGCCGATGTTGAAACGAGCATCGCTAATTAAACGGGCACCTCGTTCGACAGCCTCATCATTAAAAACAACGACAACGATGACGATTTGCATCGCTGATGACTTCACGCTCCGCTCGTTTCGCTCTGCTCTAAGCGTAAAGAAGTGTGATATTTCATAGTTGTGACATTATTGTAAGACGAGTATATTTCATTCACACTTTGAAAGAAAAGAGCGGCTGTTGCAACCAATTAAAAGTGCTATGCCATGTTCAGTCAATCTTTCTTTCTTCAGATTTCTGTAAGTTATTCATTTTGGTAAATCGAAAGCGAAGATAGAAATTTTGTTCATTTACGGATCAAATGTAGATTCTCTATTAAGTTTTGGACGCCAAGTTTCGAGCAATGCGGTAAACACTTTCGTAGCCGATCTCGCCGTAACAATACCGTGAGACTGTATGTATCGTGGTAAAGCATAGGTGATTCCGTACCTCGACAAGTGAGTTGTAAAACGGACCTTATACGGATCCCGACGCAAGGTTCAGTCTTGAGCAAAAAGAACCGTTGCATCGTACTTTATAATATGTATAACACGCGTTCGGTGCATCTTGCTAGCAGCACTCTCCGGAAATATCAATTTCACATGCTTTGATGACAAAATGTAGTAACTCTTTGATTTATGAGTAATTTTATATATTCATGTATAGAAATACGTACATGTATATATACGTATCGTATATAAGAGCAGGTTTCAAAATGCGTTTTGTTCGAAATTTATAATTTTCAAAAAACGAGAAAGAAATCCACGTGCTTTATAAAAAATAACAATTTATCAATCAGTAAGATGCAAAACGTTAAGCAAAATGGCTAAACTATAATATTTCTAATAATGTTAAACAAATGCATTTTGTTTTTGTCTCTCTAATTAAAGAATAATGTTCAGATTCTTTTTGGTACAAACATTCGTCGTGAAAAAATGCTTTCAGAGAGTAACTTTTTTTTCAATCGTGCCATCTCTAATTCAAGAAATAAAATTTTGGACAAAATGCGCATCTTGGAAGTCTGCTTCTCATATGCGTATGCATACATATACATACTTTATTTTATATTTATATACATATGAGAAAATATAAAAAAAAAGTAATACTTAACGTAAGAACAATTTAGAGACTTTATTTCTCATCTTTCCTTACGAAATTGTAAAGATCAGAAATCAATTCTGCATAATATTGCACTTTAAAATTTAATTTTCATTTCCTTGTGTCTCGCTTACTGACCTTCATATTACGTATTGCTTAGCATATAATACGAGCAAATTTAGTTTAATAATTGTGTATATTTGTAACAATGTAACGTGTAGATTGGCCAATGCATGATGTCAGACGTTTTACAAGACCGAAAATTATTCGCGTTATTCGAGTTGAAGCTTAACCGGCGTATCATAGGTACAATTGGATGCGTGGGCAACGTTAAATGTTAAATCGTTCCGTTAATCGTGACGATAGGAGACGATGTGACAAGATTACTCGCCTACGACTGAATTTCCTGTAAGACTGATGAAAACGTGCGGCTTAATAAAAATTACGGAATTAATAATCATCACGACGATTAAGCGAGAGAGAGAGAGAGAGTGAGAGAGAAAGAGAGAGAGAGAAAATAAGTTTGTATCTCCGATAACCATTCGCAGTATTTGCTATTTTTAAAAGATTGGATACAAATATGTAATTCCGACGATAATAATCAACTGTTATTTCATATCATTGACAATACAGATACGTGAGAAACTGAATACATAAAAACCAATCAATGGAAAAAAGAGGAAACATAATCACTATATATCTCCGTCATATGCTATTATCTCTTGAAAGTTTATAATCGCAGCCACCAATAAATCACGAAACGAACAGGTGAATTAAATCGGTCAGAGCTTACTATAATAAACGTCTTAGCTGCAATCATAAGATTTCTCATCTATTGACAGTGTTTGTCATATTTTTATCGTAACGCGAGGTTAATAAATGTGAAAGATTATGCCAGTTAAGAATTCACGTTTCCATTTTTAAGCTATTCGTATATTTAGAGACTAATAGTCTCTAAATGATTAAATTTGAAATATTAATTGTCATCGCGTTGACTGGTATTTATAGTCGATTCTTATTTAGGACTGTTTTAAGTGCAATCTTAAGATGTCAATCACAGAACAGTATTGGCAACTTATTAGGCATTACTTAATCAGCATTAAAGCATTACTGAATTAGGTATTACTAAACACAATCTTAAAATAGCAAAATATCAATAAATAATGTATACTTGTATAGCACTCGTCGTGATAAAATCTAAAAAAAAAAAGTTTAATACTCAATGCATTAATAAAAAGTGATAATTTATTGATATAGAAATTCTTATAGAA